TCAGAAGTTGTTTGTCCTCTCTGAGGCCGAGTTAACCCCAAACATGAATAATGTCACCATGTAGGATCACATGGAGACATGGTGTCTGTGAATGACTTTTGGTTGTACCAAATAGATATATATGATCATACAAAGCCCATTTATAAATAAAACATGATATATGATAAATAAAATATTTCCTTATTTGCTGTAATAACAAAGCTTCATGGTCATTTCTGTATTTTTTCGTCAAATATGTAAACCAAATTTGTGACAAAAGAATAGTTTCTACTTTTCTGATTATAACTATTTTAAACACATACAGCGGTGAGTGTGGGACTCCAGAGTATAGAAACCAGGAATAATAACAATATACAGCAAGAATATTATAATTATCAGCTTTGAAATTAACCCTGTTTGTAAACCCCTAAAACAAAGATGCACATCTTTTCCCATCACTTCATCAATCCCACATATGAGAAATGGAAACAAAGACTCAGTTTAAAATGTTTAAGAGTTATTCGTTCCGTCATGTCTGTCGGAGTCCTACATGTTTGACACTCCAGTTGTTTGAGGATAGACATCCTCTTCACATTTGCTCTCTCGCTCTCTCTCTCCACACACACACACACACACACACACACACACAGACACACACACACACACACACACACCTTTCCGTTTCACCCTGCTCTGAACCCGTTCTCCGTCCACCGTGCAGAAAGCTTAATAAACATGTGCCCCACTACCACCAGGACCACTGGAGCTCACCCGCCCGCCTCCCTTTACATCCCGTGCATCCCCTTTCCATCATCCCCCCCCCCCCCCCACACACACACATCCAGTCCCTCTTCTACACTCAGGTTTCACCTCTCAGCTTCCTGCTGCTCCCAGTCACGCTGACACACACTCTTACACTCAACTGTCGTATGGAGCAGTGGTGGAAGAACTCTAGTCTTATTCTGTAAAAGTAGCAATACTTTTAAAACACCCAATTACAAGTAAAAATCCCTGTTATTTACATTTATTTTATTTTATTAAAAATTATACATAATGGAGATGTACGGCAGTATTAGAGGAGTTAAATCATGAAAGTTTTTATTTAAACTGTATTTGTCTTACTTACCCAGACTTTTTCAAATGTGCTGAAAACACATGAAACTATGGGAACTGGCATTGTTTTTTTGGCAATTTCCATTGCAGAATCTAGAAAAAATCTATTTTTCCTGTCTGAATATGACATTAAATAAATATGAGTATGAAGTAAGTAACTTTTTTTCTTCTTTTTTTATGCAGTGTGTGTGTGTGTGTGTGTGTGTGTGTGTATGTGTGTGTGTGGATCCACTGCACGCCTTCTGTTTCAGGGTCAACTCAATCTCAGTTAGGAGGTGAACGGAAATTCCAATTCAACAGCGAGCATTTCACATTTCATACCTGGGAGCTGAAGCTAAGTACCACTTTAAGATCACTTAGAGCTACCCGAAGGCTCAAGCTCCCCCTCCTGCAAGAAAACGTATAGATAGACGGATAGACAGATAGATAGATAGATAGATAGATAGATGGATAGACGGATAGACAGATAGACGGACGGATAGACAGACAGACAGACAGACAGATGGATGAGAAACAAAACAACTCGTGGTCATTTAAACCTCCACTGGAGAGATTCTTCTTCTCTCTCTCTATTTCTGGCGGGGGTCTCTGGATTACTTTCTGTCAGCAGTGTGACAGCTGTGTACATCTGGTTGTGTCGGGGCCTCTTACAGCTCAATCCACACGTCGTTTCGCCGGTGTCTGGGCCTCCGGACTCGCTGCCACTGCTCACCTCATTACCGAGCGAGCCACACCTCCATCTGTCCGCCTAATATCTAAATCCTACTGCAGATTAGTGGGGGAGTCGGGGCCCGGAGGAGGGAGGACAGGAGCGAGGAAGAGGCTGGGGGGAGAGGAGAAACAAGATCCTAGAGGAAGGGTTTGTGCGTGGCACATGAGGTTTTATTAATGATCTCTAGGGTGGTGTGGTGGCGGCTGCTTTTTGGAGTTAGTGGGTAGTGGTGGCGTGTTGGGGGCCCTGTACTACTGTGCTTTGTGCATATGTGCTGGTGGGGGGGAGAGCCAGACAGAACCACAGAGCGATGGCATCATGTGATCTCATCATTCCTCCATGATGATCTGAAATGTGGAAAAGAGTGAACTGCTTGGGAATCTTCCTTTCCATGCTTGTCTTCGTGTCTAAAAGAATAAGTGAATATACATACATGGATTGTCTGTGTATTGTCTATGTATCCAAAAACCTGATATAATGTTATTCCTCTGTACCAGCTGCCATATATTATATATTAATTCAATTGAATAGCTTTTCTTTTTAAATACTTTTTTTAATTAGTTATGTAGAATAAACATATAATTTTGTTATAGTTTGCCAAAAATCCTGACAGGGATGAGTTTGCCTTTTTGGACGGGTTCCGTAGCAAATGGCACCAAATTATATTTAGAGAGTTTTCTTTGAACACAGCCGTAGTTCTGAGCTGCAGCTCCGTCTGTGGGCCCCCTCACCCCACGGCCCCTCACGCAACCGCACTGTCTATAGGTGTGCAGCGCATTGTTGTGCAGGAACTATTAAAAAGACATCAGTGATCCACACTGTTGCATCATTATGAACACACACACACACACTGTAGTTTCTTCTCACACACACCGTCCTGCTACCATAGTCACAAGCAGACCACATACACGACTGAAAATTGTACCCAACAAATGCTCTGTTCTTGTTTGGGAGATGTTTGCTAAAAAAACTACATTGTCCAGCTGTTTCAGGAAATTATACATATTTTAAACCCACTTTATTTACTTTCCCTCAAAGGGGAAAAAGTGTGTTTAGAACACAGAGCTACAGACAGTGTATGGAAGATAGACTGTTGGTTTTAGTCTTTTCATAGAAGTTATGTATTGCATATTATATTGTTTAATTATTGATAATATTCTATAATAAAATATAAAATATTGCCAGGATTATCCTCTAACTGCTAACTACATACCAGAACATGCAAGGCCACACTAAAATCACTTTTACCTACACTCAAGGTTTTTGGTTGCTCGGGTCGTTTCAGTGCCTTCCACTGTGATCTGTTGATCATAATCATACTAACAAGTATGGAATTCCACCAGAAGAGGGTGTTTTAGTCCTATTTTATACTCCTGTGAGTGTTTTCACAAGAGGGCAATAATAGTAGTTCACAAAACAATTTCCCCATAAGTTCCTCTCAGTAGTAACAGGAGCAGTGGTTTGATTCTAGCACAGTTTGTGTTTTTGTGTTTTGGTAAATCTAAACAAGAATTATTAATTCAATTCCACCAATTCTGATCGTTAAATTAAGGGGATAATGTATTTTTGAATGCTTAAGCCAGAAAAATGAATGAATCGACCACAGTTTGAATCTACAGTCCTTAGTTCAGAGGGAGACGTGAACCCGGCTGGCTTGTTGTAATAACAGCAACACAATCTGAGCCAAACACTTCCTGTGAGGGTCACTCGTCCTCAGCTTGTGCTCATATCTTGACGGCAGCTTTTGCTCATATCTTGACAGCAGCTTTTGCTGATGGGCATCACTTGTTTTTTAGTCAATGATTGACCCGTTACTCACTGAAGCTTTGACAGCACAAATGACCCCAAAGCTGCCCAACGTCTACAATATCTCTGCTGTTCGGGGACTTTTTGGACGGTGACATTTTTTATCTGTTTAAGTTGTCAAAATGTGTGTCAGTTTTTAAGCTGAACCCGCATAAACAAACACCTCAGAGATGCACAAAATGTATCTTTTGTGCAGATATAAAACTGTGTGTTTGTATCATTACTGCCGTCTTATTATGTCTTCAATATTCGAAACAGCCTTTTTTTTAAATTGAATAATCGATAAAAAAAGAAATGAATGCATATTGTCCTAATACAATATGCATTTATTGACTCTCCTGTTAAATTGCAGAGTGTATCTGCATTTGACATATATTATAAGTTAAAAGGAGACAAAACAAACGATAACATTTAGAATGAATTTGATTGTAGCAGTGCAATTACAACACACCATAAATCATACAGACACACTAATAAATCAGATTTATTTTAGATAAATGAGTGGGCGAATGGAACTTTTTCAACAGAGCGTGCACATTTCTGTGAGTGTTTCTCTTTACCAGTGGAGTGTTTACCTTCTGAGCATGGCTCTTTATCGTCCAGACGGATTTTAAACCCTATCAGCCAACTCAAGAACACAATGACAAGTTAGGAATGCGTGTGGGCTGCACAGAGTCGAGTCATGAAGGAGGTAGACAAAAGAAAACCGTGAGACTCTAACATAAACATACAATATGTAGAAATGAGAATGATCTCTAACTGAGAGCAAGATTAAAAACGCTTTACTGGGGATCTTCTTGTGGAGGCGTTGCAGGTTTTCAGGATATTTGGTAACATAGCGCCACCCGGTGATCAAATTAGAAGTCCAAAAGATTTTTGTGTTACTGTTATTTAATTGTAAGTGAGTTACAAATACCAAGGAACTACAGGAAATTCACCCAAAACAGACGCATATTTAAACAAATTAATTTCATCAGTGTTTTTTAAAAGTATTAACATTATAATGGCCTTTTACTGTAATATATTTCCATTGTTGATTTAAAGTTACTGTCTATTTCTTTTTGGTGTTTTGCATCCTTGTATTACCTCTTTTCACAATCTCCTACATAAAAAACATTTGCTTTTCTTATGTTTTTAAAGGTTCATTCTTTATAAAAAGAGACGCAGATCAAAAATGCTCGTCGGCACTAAAAACCGGAAGTCTTTTGCTTCTTGACCCGCTTGTTTAGTCTGTTACTGTTGACTCAACAGTGTTGACGAAATGGCCCATGGTAGCTCGTGGGAGAGAAAAATAAACAAAACGTCTACTCAGGAAAACAGACTACATGTCCCAGCAGCGCTCGGTGGTTGAACTGTGAGGTCATGTCGCGTGGATGAAGTCACAACAAACATGGCGGCGCTCGGTACGGCACGGTGCTTATTACGGACCTACTCTCGGGTGAAAAATGTGCAAAAGAGCAGGCAAATGTTGGCGCGATGCGGCGTCAGGGCGCTTTGTAGCGGGACACAAGACAAAGGTATGTTTTAACGGGATGAATATCATTGTAGTCGCGTTATTTTCTTCACTGTAACACTGACCTTGTAGCGTGTTTCGTTAGCCTCGGTGCTGTCAGTGCGGGTGTCAAACTCGCTTAAGAAATCTGCCAATTTTACCTTCCCGTACCTATTTGACAAGCTATAGACCCTGTAGATCAATGTTTAATGTGTTGAACAAATGATTAGAGTCTGTCCGTAAATTCGGCATTATGTTAGCAAATGAAATGCGAGCAGCTTTGTAATATAATACAATATTAGGGGATCAAGTGCTAGCTTCCTACAGGGCTAGCATGTTAATTTCAACTGAGGAAGAAATGATCAAAATGATGATGAAAGTTGAGTTTTAATCCCAAGAGACGTTGCTTAGTGTACACATCGCATCTCGTACTGGAGAGGGGAGCTGTATTCGTTTTCAAAGGTCTTAATAATGAGTTTTAGATATAGTTCATGTCGATATGTAGACTCCTCACTTTTCAGTCAAAAATGGCATTATTTGTTAAGAGTCTGTTCTGTCTTCTTTTACTACAAGCTACAATGAACATTTGTTAGAACTCCTCATCGATGCATTCCACTTGTGTGTTGTGGCTTTAACAGCCAGCAATGTAAACCAATATGAAATTGTCTAGAAACCTTTGACATGCATCGTCCTGTAGTTTGTGCACGCGATTGACGTGTGCATCTTGTTTCTCCAGCTCTCTCAGACAATGCAAAACCCCAGTTCACAGATCCAGCTGTGCAGGACGTCCTCACCGGGATCACCGGCCTGGACCTGCAGAAAGTGTTCCGACCCATTAAAGAGGAGCTGAACCCGCCCACATATAAACTCATGACTGACGAGCAACTGGAGCAGGTGCTCCTTTTTAAATAAACCATGAAAGCCCATCTCAATCAGGCACTCACAAGTCACGGTAACACATGTTTCATCTAACCCCTTGTGTGTGTGTTTGCAGGCGGTCGAGTTAGCCACAGAGCAGGCGAAGAAGTTGCTGCAGATGCCCCCCGTCCTGCCGGAGAGGAAGCCCATCAACGATGTGCTGTCGGAGGACAAGATCCTGGATGACATGGACACAGCCAAATACGTCTTCACAGACATCACCTACAACATCCCACACAGGGTACGCACATTGTGTTGAAATACGTACTCCGTTAAGGGACTCTGGACCAGAACATTTCTCAAATGTATCCTTACATACTTTATTCCCCCCACCCCCCCAGGAGAGGTTCATTGTCGTACGGGAACCCAACGGGGCCCTTAGGAAGGCAACGTGGGAGGAGAGAGACCGGCTCATTCAGGTCTACTTCCCCAAGGATGGACGCAAACTCACAGCGCCGCTCATCTTCAAGGAGGAGAACATCAAGGTGGGAAGTGTCATGATACTTAGGCTATTTATTTGCATCCAGTTAAACTTAGCAGATCTGAGCAGAGCTGTTTTTCCAGATCTTTCTGTAGCTGTCTTTCTACCACTTTCAATTCATTCTTCGGGCCTTTTTTTTTTTTTTTCACGGCTCGTATTTTGACTCGTCATAGCTGAAAAAGCTCAGGTGTTTCTAATAACACTAACGAAGTCTCTGGTCCGTTCAAATGTTCCAGTGCGTTGTGACAGCGAGCCGGCCGGCACAATACTCTGAAACTGAAGCAGCCAAATGTAATTCAGCCGTTGTTGATGTTATTCGTAACACCTGTGCATTTCCTACTGTGACATGTACAAATGTCTGTTGGTAAAAAACAAAAAGCCTGCTTATTGTTTGCAAACAGACTTTTGTGAGTTTTCTGCCGTGAACACACAGCACAGTCTGTGTAGTACTGAATGATTTGACATCACAATTCTCAACAAAACGATTGAACCAGTGTATAATGTGTGTATCGTACAGGTGTCAGTGTCACTGTGTGTACCATTATATGTTTTATTTATATTCAGTAAGAGTGGAGTTTAGGCTGCACAAGCATGGCAGACAAACGCCTGGTTAAGAGACATACACACCATAGTATTCCGGTTCGTAGTCGTCCATCTAGCAGCTTTCGGTTTCTCTGAACTGGTGTAAGAGCTGTTGCAGGATTGTGAGTTCTGTGAACACCGATACGGTCCTGAGAAGAGCAGCTAATCAGGCGGAATGAGTGGGGACACCTGTGTGGGTGTCCAGTGAGTGTCTGGAGGCTTTAATCCTCACATTCTCCCTCTCTGTTAAGATGGTGTTTTCCCAGGACCGCCACGAGGACGTGTTGGACCTGTGTCTGGTCCAATTTGAACCAGACTCCTCAGACTACATCAGGGTAAGATGACATTGATTTTTCCCACTGTTATTTTGACCTGCGCTGGACTCTGTAGACTGCATGTAGCTCGTTACACCGTGAAATCTCCACAGTCGGTCCTGTATTTTCTTTGGGTCACTTCATACGGAGTGTAAAATGGGAGTTCATGAATTTGATGTAAGGAGCATTGTGCTGAGTATCTACAACGTCCAGTGGATTTAGGATCACGTCCCACTCGATGTGTCTAGGTACATGCGGCCACCTATGAGGACCTGGACAAGCACGGCAAATATGAGCTGCTGCGCTCCACCAGACACTTTGGAGGCCTGGCCTGGCACCTGCTCAGCGCTCGCAGGGTGGACGGGCTCATAGTGGACATGCTGAAGAGAGAGCTGTGAGTTTGTGTTTGTGTGTGTGTGTGTGTGTGAGTGTGTGAGTGTGTGTGAGTGTGAGTGTGTGTGTGTGTGTGAGTGAGTGAGTGAGTGAGTGAGAGAGAGATGCGTGCATGGTTAATAAGGTATGAGAAGCTGTTTTTGCAACCAATGTTGAGGCTTGAACATCTACCTTTTTATTGGTCAACCCAGCCAGTGTAAAGCTGATACCTAAGCCTTTAGTGTGTGTGTCTAGCCTCCAGGATGCAGTGAGCCTTGTGTCTCTGTTCCACGCGGTCCACCCCCACAGCGAGTCGGCCCAGGAAGCCGCCGGCCAGCAGGCCGCCGGCGCCGACCTGCTGAAGGTGAGAACAACTCGACTTTAGCTTGAAATATCTGCTGACGTAGCGCCGTTTTTTACACTTCTATTCACTTTGCTGTGTGTATATTATCTATAGAAATTGTCCGGGTCGTATAAATCGTGTCCCCCCCGGGCATTGGGAGTAAATCAGGAGTCAGGGTAGCTCTTTTGAGAGGTCAAGTGAGGGCCTCTTCTAAAGTTTCCTACGTGAGGGTTTTGGGTTTGTCTACAGCGTGGGAACTGCGGGGCCAAGCCCAGGACACATCAGGTCTTATTAGTGCTCACAGCCCCTGGGCCTAGAGGCAGTGGGGGGGGGGCATTAAGAATGACAGCCATTTAATGTGAACGGTTAGCGGCAGGAGACACGCTTGTGTCTTTCTGTTAACACGCAAGGCCTCTGTTAGTCATGCATGATCGTGGAGCACAGAGCTGTGTTTTTATTAGTCTGCCACTAAAATAATTAATTTTTGCAAACCTCCAAAGTTTCTATGGTGACCTTTCTCCCCGTGTCCTCTGCAGATCTATGCCCAGAAGGAGTCCCAGCGGTCGGGCTACATCGAGCTGGCCCTGCAGGCGTACAAGCAGCTGGCTGCTAAGAGCTCTGCTGAATGACCGACCCACTGCTAAATAGGAATATACACGTTTATCCACAATGAGGAATGGTTCACATCGCCACAGGAATGGACAGAATATTGCCTCCCACTAATACATGTGCTCCTTGACTGAGCTATTCACTTCTCATCCATGATGCAAGAAGTTAGTCATTTCTCCATAGAGGGGAAACAAACCTCGTATCGTCTCTACGTGTGTTTCATTTGGAGCTCCGAGTCAAATGATGTACATACCAAAATAAAGATCTTTGTACTTGTAACGCGTTGGAGTAAAATGACTTCCTGGATAACACAGAAGACTTGATTGAAGCTTTTAATTTTTTCCCACAGTACCACCCATCCTTTAAGACACACACACATGTAAGGCACTTATAACAGAAACACTGTTTTCACTGAAGTTCATCCGACAAACTAAAAGCAGCGGTCTGTGTTCATACGAGCTTTGAGAAGTTAACGTATGAAAATATTACAACAAAGAGGTATTTAAGACATTACATGTAACCGAATAGGGGGAATTTGTCCAAATCACAGGCTTGTGCAACATTTTTTATTGCATACTATTTATAAAAAGGCAGCCTTGTATCAGCAGGAATGTCAAAAAAAAAAAATATTCAAACTCTTCAATAACACCCTGATCAACAGCGGTGTCTCACTGTGAGGTATGAGGTACTGAGAGTGTATTACTAGTGAACATTAACAATCTGGTGAAGCATATATCTGTAGTGTAAAAAATAAAAGGTCCCCAACAGGCTGAGCAGGATATGTTGACTGGCTGCAATGTATCCCATATTTCCCAACACACACACACCTTGTTTTGTCTTATTCCCATTTAAGTGTAAACACAGCCTGGACACTTCCCAATGGTTAATTAAGGCTGTGGCTTCATTTCTGCATTCATAAAAGTGTAATTTTGGAACAATTTATTCCTACAACCGAGAAAGCAAATGCTTGTCAATTAAACTGAAATGCATTTTCGTCTCACCGCTTATCGTCTTAGGAAACCCTTTGAGTTCTTTGGTCACTGAAAAAAAACAGAACTGTGTGGCTCGTGAAAAAAGGTTCTTCTTCCTATTCACTCAAGCAATCATCATCCAGGTTAACATCTGAGGTGTCGATGTCTTCCAGGTCAAAATTGTCCAGATCCAGATCATCCAGGATCTACAGGGAACAAAATGCGTTGCATTTAGGGAAAGAGGAAGTTCATGGCTCCATAATATTATATTTTATTCCATAGTCGTGCCAATATTTTTGCCATATGATTAAAAACAGACATTCACCTCATCTATCTCTGCGTCGAGGTCCTCTGCAGGTTCCTTAGGACCCGCCTCCTCTTCGGGGGATAAAACCTCTGGCTTTAGAACCACTGCAGGTTCCAGGTTCTCCTCCGGCTCTACTGGGAGTGTTGTGGTTTGCTCTGCTTGTTTCGGTTCCTGCGCCGGGACCGGCTTCAGCAGTGGCATCGTGTCTCGGAGTGGGTCCAGCAGCGGATCGAGGGCCAGATATGGAAGAGTTTGGCTTTGAACAGGATCGTCCAGCGGCAGACTGTCCGTGCTTTCGAAGGAGATGAGCTCCTCCACTGCTACAGGTAGCGCCGCTGGTGCTTCTGAGGAGATGGCACCTGCTTCCTGTTCTTCATAAACAGGCATTCCTTCAGGTGCTATAGATTCTGTTACATCGGTATCAACTATCAGACCAGTGCTGACCGGGACACACTCTGTTGATATGGTTTCACTTGGTGTCTCCTCCGTTGCCGTGATGGTTTCTGACATTGTCTCGATTAGATGTGTTTCGGACTCACAGGCAGCAGGATCAGTCGCTGGAGAAATCTCCTGAACATCTGTCTCAACTGATGGTCGGACATCTTCCACGGGACTGGATCGTACCATCTCGGGCTCTGCGGGGGGAATCTCTGTGGTGGACTCCAAAACGTCGTCTTCTACAGAGATTAAAGCCTCCCCTGACTCAACGAAGGTGTCGTCCTCTGAAGACGCCGACTCTGCTTCCTCTGGTTCAACATGCTCTTCCGTTGCTGCGACAGGCAGAGGGGCGGCTGCTGCCGGGATGGCTTCTTCTTCTTCTGTTGCTGGAACGGGATCAACGATCTCCTGTTTTAGAAGAATGGGTTCCTCCACCATTGCCGTTTCTGCAGGTGCAGCCTCCGTCACCGCTGCCACCATGACGGTTTCATTCATGCTCTCCACCTCTCCCTGTAGAACAAGCAGACATACAAACTCTCTTTTAAAAGGATCGGTTCACCTTTAAAAAAGTACAAATATCAATACATGATTGTAAAAATGTGGACCTATTCTTTAAGAGACCACTGTCTGTATTGGGTTCAGATATTATACATTTAGATATTTTGGTCACAGGTTCAGCTAAAGGAGCGCCATCTTGGTGTGACAGGTACAGGTCCTCACCTCTGGCTCTGTGAGCTCTCCTTTAGACTCAAAACCTGCAGATTCCTCCAGAACATTACGGTCCTCGTTTGGCTGAAGAACAGAGAGAAGTCATCTCAAACACGATGCTCAAAGTATGAAGAGTAAAATCAGATGATGAAATAACAAGAGAACAAAAAACTGCAACATTTTACAACTTGTGCAGCAATGAACTAAGTGCCTGGTCTAGAATAGAGTCACTAAAGCATAGCTCCTCTGGCTTCCACTGACCATGACGAGTGGGTATTCTGCAGCAGGCCTGACCCCGACATGAGTCTCCTTCAGGTACCCCTCAGCCAGCAGGGCTTGCTGGAGGCCCGGGAACAGGTTGCTGTACTGGGAGGGGTCAGCCAGAGCGTCTGCCGCCTTCTGGTTGACCTTGGACAGACTCTCCTTCCACAGCTTCACCACCCTGGAAGAAGGGAAGCGTATACAGCTCACCAACGATGCAATGTGTAAATATACACGCAGATATAGATATTACCATTATCAAAAACATTTAGTATTTGCATCTACAGATTTTGATTTGGAGTAAATTTCTTGTCCTCTGGGAAACAAGAAATTGTATTTATTTCAAATTACAGGCAGAATAGTAGAGTGTATGCAAAGTTTCTGCAGGTCACGTATGAATATAAGATTGATGCCCACAGACACAGCCAGGACACTGGAGTACAACACTCTGTGCACTCAATGGAAACAACTGTACCTCGACACATGGCTGGGCAGATATGTCCTTGCCAGAAATGCAGCCTCTGGCAACCGACCTGTGTCGATGAGAAGGTCCAGACACTTGTCCAACCTGGGCAAATGCAGAAATGAATAATAAAATAAACTAACTTGAGTTAGTTGATTGAAATCTGGATTCAAACTCAGCTCCCCTCCCTCCTCTCACCTTCCCTGCAGGAAGTAGGTGAGAAAGGCCACGTTGGTCTTCCCGTCCCTCTCCGCCCCCTCGGCCAACTTGCCCACCATGTTGGCGTTGCCCGAGGCGGTGGCCAACAGCAGTAATCCCCCATAATCCTGAGCCTGGTGCAGGCACTCCTGAGCCAAGCTGAACTGGCACTTTGTGGTCGCGAGCTCTGCCAGCTGCTTCCACTTGTGCTCTGACTGGATCCCCCGCAGGCCAAGGTGCCAAAGAGACAGGAGGGAGAGAGGATTATCACAGGAGAAGCATGAACCTCGACAACAACACACTGTGAAGCAGTCACTATGTCTGGGTGGCCGCGGTTGCGACTCACCCTGTAAGACTGCTTGAGTAAAAATGATTCTTCATACATTATCCTGCATATGACACAGCTGCTACTCAAAGAAAATCATTTAAAACAACAAATCTGATTGTGTGCCGTCTTTTTTAGCCTTTCAACGCATTCATTACTTTGGTTTCTCACTTAACTATTTAAATTCAAGCTTGAGTACGTTCACACAATAAAAATAACAAAATAAACGACACCCAAAGCCGACAATATGCATACGACATACTGCTAGACCTTAGAGTGTGCTGCTGATGCACTCTATTCTCCCACAATGCAATGCAAAAATGAAATGGAAGAGCTGCTCTCAGCTGAAAACAAATTGTGGACTGTGGTAGAACCACTAAAAAAAAACATGTGTATTAAACCATTAAAATTGTTTTTATCTTCCTGAAATGACAATAGGTTTCCAAAGTCGCAGTTCGATTGACGACGTCACACATCGTTTCTTGTTAGTATGAAAATGGTGAAGGATAGTTTTGTACACTATCACGATTAGTGTGCATGGAGTTAGTGTGTGTTACAGATGTGGGACAGGCTCCGTGTTGTTTTCGTGTGGGCTCTGACCTCTGCCTCCAGGGCCAGTTGGTGCGCCATCTTGAGCTCCCCCAGATGCAGGGCCAGTTCAAACCTGTGCTCCGGGTCGGTGGACACGGCCAGGGCCTGCTGTCTGAAGCCCTGCACGGCACACAAAAAAACCACAGTCGACAGTTGTGAATATTCTGTTCCAAGCATTCTGCTCTGTCCGACAGCTGCCAACAGTGGAAGATTAGGTATGTGAATGTGAAAAAGTAGCACACAAGAATTCTGCCCGGAAGGTTTTACTCCATCTGGCTGCCTGATGTTCTGAAAATGATGCATTCCATATCGAAATAAATCTCATACATTTATAATCAGCAGCACCGAGCTGCACGAATGCTGGTGGATGAACGTACCTGTTTCTCCAAAAAGTTGGCCACCCTGGTCCTCTGCTCCTTGGGGATCGTGGGTAGGACCTTGTCGGCCGTGCTGAAGTCCCTCCTCATGACAGCCGTCTGGTACTCCAGCACCGACAGCAGCAGCGCGTAGCTGATGACGTTCAGCTCCTTGTCTCCGAGGTAGAGCCGGTCGTCCTTGGGGATGTAGCCCAGCAGATACATGGTCCTGCACAGGAGAAAGACCCGATTCAAGGCACTCCTTGGTCATGGCCCCGACGCTGATGATGGGGTACACATCTTTGTAATTGTATATAATTGTATATATACATGCATTGTACCTGTCCAGGTGAGCGATGGTAATGAGCTCTCCTCCCACATAGTAGTTCAGTCTGTTCAGAGAGCTGGTGTAGATGAAGCAGTCTCCCACCCAAACCCCTGTCTTCACCACCCCCGGGACCTCCCCCAGCACCTGGTCGCCAGGAATAAAACAAGAAAGAATCAAATAGTCATTGGAAATAATTGCTAGAACTTCATTCAAAAAAAACATACATTCCTCAGCAGATTATCTGCATCTTCCAGGATGACATTTCAAACGTTTTTCTTATGTTAGTGTGAATTCCATTATGTGTTTCTGGAGATTACGCTCGGCCTGTTCGTTTAGGAAAACACGCTTTTCTCTGACCTCGAAGGCGCCCTCGATCCCATCCTCTGTTATCTCCTCCTTGGACTCCTGGGCCGCTGCCACTCTCTCTGGTAGGTAGCGCAGCACAAAGAAGGACTCGTCTGTACCGATACACACCAGCTCCCCAGAGTCAGACCAGAAGATCTAAAGACAGCAGGACCACGTGTTGTTATAATAAGGGCAACAGACGGACGGACGGACCGCTGGAGATGCACAGCAAGAGCCAGAACGGCGTGACGCACGTGTTTAGGCTGGATCTCGATACGGCGGATCAGTTCAGAACTCTCCCAGTCGTAGAAGGCCAGGCCGCTGTTTGACCTCACGCCCAGTAAGAAGCCACCAAAGATACCTGTGGGACAGCAGGACACCAGGCATTAGACATAGACACACACACACACATACATATTGTGTACACACAAAATGAATGAATAGGAAATAAAGCTCACCTTCAGCCCCGAAGTCAGGTTTAAAAGCATTCTTCTCTTTGAAGTTCTTGAATATTTTGATCCTACTGCTGCCCTCCCTTATGGCATACCTATGAAAACAATGTACACATATATATAAATATACACCTATATATAACACAATGTACACACTTTATTATAATGTGCCTCACCACATCAGTCGGTGAAGTTAATTACTCTTATTACACATCATTTACAGCTCTTACTAGCTGAAGGAATAGTTTTGACATCTTGGGAAATGTACTTTCATAAATATACTAAATAGATGCTGAACTCATGTCCGTTCACTAAATATGAAGCTAAAGCAAAGAGATGGTTAGCCTAGCTTAGCATACTGTAAAGACTGAAGCAAGGGGAAACGGCTAAAGCGAACTCTGTCCAAAATTGAAAAGAAAATCTTCATGCTGAGCTAATAATGTCAATCTCGTCATCTTACTCCGACGTGTATTTCCCTAAATGCCGAGCTGTTCCTTTCAGGACTTACTGAGAGGAGTCGTGGGCCCAGACGAACTCTTGAGCCGAGCCGAAGCTCTTGTTCCTCAGGGCCATGGCGGTGTAGATGATGTACTCTCCGTCTCCACACACCACGACGAATCTACAGAAAAACACAAACACACATTCACATCCAGATATAACTTTATATTTTGAAACTTCTTCTCTCCCCAAAAGAATCCGGTAGGCACCACTTCTCTTTCTTCTTCTACCTGCACTCACATGTGACCTGGATAGTTACACTTAAATGTGTCCTCCCTCCAAATCATATAAGAAATATGAACCCCTCTTTAAAAAGATCAAACCAGGACTGACATTATCAACTGTGTAAAAAACAAAGTCCATAATCTGCTCTATGATGCTCATAACTATCTGATCTGTCAAATAAAAGCCTTCACACTTGATGAATGAACTTCCACGTGAAGAGGATGCTCTATTGGGGGATAAACTTTCAAATTAAACTTAAAAAGTCTAGATGTGATGGAGCACATTTCGGTGAGGGCAAAGGGAAAGGATCCCCCGCGGCCCGGCGTCTCACCTCCCGTTGGGGCTGTGTTGGATGGTCTGGGGGAAGATCTCACAGCTGCCCATGTCCTTGACGCCCAGCTGCAGCCTCTCTCCGTCCCTGATCTCGGCGTCTCCCATGGCCTTCAGGTTGGCCTGCTGCACCTCGGAGTGGCGAGCCCACATGACCTTCCCACTGGCGTCCATGGACATGGCCGGCTCCTCCCGACCCAGCTGAGACGGAGAGGAAACACACGGGAGAGGGGGGGGTTGAGGTGTTAAGGAGCGGCGACATTTCAATATTACAGGTCAAGAAATATTCCTTCCGCTCACACAATGCAATCACACAATGCAATATAATCTACTCCGACTGAAGGTGTTTTATATGAGCGCCCTGAGGATAGAGAGGTTGTGTCCTCTGTTTTCTCTGGGGGTGTTAATAACCAGAGGTTGTTTATGGTTTAAAATTGAACGTCAGCGTTCCATTCTTTTGTTTAGAAGAGATTATTGACATTATTTCCTAAATTGTGGTTTCTCGCTGCTGACCTCAAGGCCCCATTGACAGAAGAGAGACTTCCACGAGCACAATGATTGGACCTCATTCAGAGGCTGAAAGCAGCTGAAGGAAAAACTGTGCAAACTAAATGATGACTGCTCTGGTAACCAAGACCATGACACTTGACCTACATATCCGTTAGAATTCATCATTTCAGACATCTGCGTGAGGAATTAGGGAAAACAGTGTAGTAGTGCTTAAGGGGAGTCACTAAATGCTCCGGTTATTTTAGGCTAATTTGCTTTAATTTCATATCTTTTTTCCGACTAGTGGAAAGAAAATATCCAAAATACACATTTATGTGTTTTGTCTATTTGCATCAGTAGATTTCTCCTAAATGTTACATTATATAATGCCTAATTTGCATATTTAAACAGAAAAAAAACCCAATTAATGTGATAGTAACAGGAACAGTAATCAACTGGGGAGGTTTCATTTGTACCCCTTTTACCTGGGGTGTCTCTCCCCTTAAGATGAAAATGTGAGACTTTGAAACATCCACAGCCTTCTGGGAGAGAATACCTTGATGATGATGCTGCCTTCGTCGTAGCCCAGAGCCACACTGTTGGAGCCAGGCTGGCTGCTTATACACCACACCCTCTCCATGCCGTAGTTGAGCGTGTTCTCCAGCCGGTAGGTGTTGGAGTGCCACACTCGAACGGTGCCTAAGGAAAACAACAAAGAGGTCACAATTGAACGGAGATGCTGCGGTGAT